TAATATGCTGTTAGATTTTAGATTCTGTTATTATTTTTATTATCGAGGAATCTACCACTTTCTGCGCCACATATTTTTTTTTTGTATGATGAGGCCTTCATGACTGTAGATCACACAAGTCCTTTGAAGATCACCTGGTTGTTCTTTCTTTTCTTTTCTTTTCCTATTTTTTCTTGCTAGGTAAGAGTGTTAGGATTTTGTTGTCAAATAGTCGGGAACATCTTCTTTTGTTGTCTAAATGTCTTGGCTGCTCAAACCTTTAATCTTCACTATATCTAGGTAACAAGTCAGGAGACCAACCTAGTGGCTAGATGTCGAAGAGTATATGGCCATGCTCATGATTATCACATCAATTCTATTTCAAATAACAGGTAGCTATTTACTTTTGCTTTATTTCAATTTTATGGTGTTCTGGCTTCCTATATCTGGATTATTTGGAAATCAATTGAAGAGGAAGTATGATTTCATTTTCCTTGATAATATTTAGTAGGATCAAGAATCTTAACTTATTCTTCTGTGATGGATGTAAAGTCTTCATCAACCCACACTTCAATACGCTTATAAAAGAGTTTTAGTCTGATAATTGCTTAACCTCTATCGTATTTTTGTTTATATATGTTTTAGTACTTTGCAGTATCATTCTGAGGTATCTCCTGAGAATGTGACGCTAACTTTTATTAGGTTCTTGATTGGAACTGGCGCTGATTGTGTCTTTTGTTGTGTTGAAGGCATATGAATCTCTATTGATAATGATAAAGGATTAATTTTTCAACTAAAGATATAATGAATCTCGATTTCCTCTGATAGTATTCTGTTCTGAACTAATGTTGTGTCCAAGAAAGAAGCTGTCATTCTAAAATGGTCTGTTGGTACACTGTTCATACTTTAGAAATGAAAGACTGGTTCATGGAGAAAACTGGAGAACTTCTAACCATAGAATATTAATGACATGGATGGAGCTTTCCTCAGAAATTATTTGTCTCTGTTTTAGGCCTTGAAGACATCACTTTTGCCTTAGAACTTGGTTAATAGGTTCTATGATCCATTGATCATGTTTTGTCCCATGCAACCCTTGAGGCATTAGATTATTTAGTTCATGGAAAATACCTGAATCTAGAAGTACTAATCTTTTATCATAGAATTATCTAGTACTTGTCTTGAAGTTAAATTGTCTGTACACAATTTTTCTGCAGTACAGTTATTCTTATTCATGTAAATTCTTTGGAAATCCTTACGGCGATATTTAAGCTTTAGGATTGTATGCACTTTGTATTGTATGAAAGCACATCCTGTTGCAGTGTTTTTCTTTCGTATTAGTTTGCAAAGATATACTGATAGTCTGTTACTCTCTGCCTCTCTTGTATTTTCTAGTGATGGGGAAACTTTTATATCAGCTGATGATCTACGTATAAATCTTTGGAACTTGGAAATTAGCAGTCAAAGTTTCAATATTGTTGATGTAAAGCCTGCAGACATGGAGGACCTAACTGGTAAGTAGTCTCTTACATGTTGGTACTTTCATCTGCTCCTTTCACTTATGAAAGTATAATCAACTTCAGTGCTTTTTAATAAATTCACGAAAGCAAGGTTTGAACTATAGTCATGCACATCTTTGCAGAGGTTATAACATCAGCTGAGTTTCACCCTACCCACTGTAATATGCTAGCTTATAGTAGTTCAAAGGGTTCAATTCGCCTCATTGATTTGCGGCAATCAGCTTTGTGCGATTCTCACACCAAATTGTAAGTATAATACCATTGATTGCTTCTTTTGATGAATTTACTCAGGTTTGCGCCAAAAATTTAAGATACTAGGCTATGAATCCAGATATGTGAGGGTTATGTATTTACTATGTGTCTTCAGTATTCTTTCTAAAATATAAGTAATATTCTATGACAACAGGTTTGAAGAACCGGAGGCACCTGGTTCTAGATCATTTTTCACAGAGATAATTGCCTCAATCTCAGATGTTAAATTTTCAAAGGAAGGAAGATATATTCTCAGCCGTGATTACATGACTCTTAAGGTGTTGCTTTGTTGCTTTCTCTTCTTGTTTTGCTTTATTTTCTTGTTTTTGGTATTGACATATAATTACTTTGCATTGCGTTAGCTTCACATTATGGATGTAATTCTTGTTAAGCATGCCACAATGATTTTATGCGACCCCGACTTAATTCTATCACCTTATTAAGACAATGAAAGGATTTGACCGCATTGATGCAATGTCTTATGCTGAAAACATGAAACTGCAATGGTCCTTTTCTGCAAATATCTGCCGGATAAAACATTCTAGTTTTTTAGACATTTAACACAAATGTGATTAAATGGAAACAACAATTTGGCTTGTTGGCATTTTGGCTTGGACTCAGATATGCAAACAATTTTATTTATTCCATAGAGAGCTTATCACGAAGGCATGAAACAGGTGGGGGTTAAGATTAAATGTTATGTTACCTTCTATTCATTGAACATAAATATATTTAATCATCTTAAAGTTGCCGTTGAGCATTCCTTCCCCGTTCACTGTTTGAATCAATCACATGTCATTTTTTTTTACCTTTTTTTAATCTTTGAACATACTTAAATTTGAATCCCTCATAATATGGTTAAATTCATATCAGTGTCTTCTTTTTCTTTTTGTTAAATTTTTTACCTGCATGCATACTTTTAAGCTGTAAGACTTTCGAAGTTGGTTTTAAACTTATGGTGTCCTTGATATCATATACATTTGATATGTCCTTAATGGCCATTTTAGGACTTGCCATCTGACTTGATTACATGTCACGTGGTTGTCAGTTGTGGGACATCAACATGGATTCAGGTCCAGTTGCAACATTCCAGGTTCATGAATATTTACGACCTAAGGTATGATTTCTATGTTCTGAAAAAGATGATGAAATTAACGTATCTGTGTTTTTGCTTTGACAGACCTATTTATTGCATTCTTTGATTGTTTCAGCTGTGTGATTTGTATGAAAATGATTCGATCTTTGACAAATTTGAATGTTGCCTAAGTGGTGATGGATTTCGAGTAGCAACGGGTTCCTATAGGTTTGTTTTCATCCAAAAGCCTGTCTCCTAAACTTTTGTTGTTGTCATTATGTTATTCCATGTAACATAATATATATTTACTCTCAGCAATATATTCCGTGTATTTGGTTGTGCCCCTGGAAGCACCGAGTCGACAACTTTGGAAGCCAGCAAAAATCCAATGAGGTAAAGTTTCACTCCAGGGTAACCTTTCAAAAATAAAGTAAAATTCGATAAATGAAGTACACTCTAAGTAGTTATATACATCCATATGTCTTTCCAGGAGACAAGTTCAGACTCCCACAAGGCCTTCCAGGCCCCTAAGCAGTATAACACGTGTTGTCAGACGAGGTTATGATTTGTTGTTCATTTGTTTCCTTTTCATTATTTTCTTCCTCGGACACCTTCTGGTGCAGAGTACTGTTTAATGATTTTTTGTTCAGTTCTTGATTTGTGCTCTGAAGCTTTCATTGTGCTGAATTTGTCATATCAGGATCAGATACTCCCGGTGTTGATGCGAATGGAAATGCTTTTGATTTCACGACAAAGCTGCTGCACCTAGCATGGCACCCAACTGAAAACTTGATTGCCTGTGCTGCTGCAAACAGCTTATACATGTACTATGCATAAAGATGATCCAAGCAGCAAATTGAAGGCTAAAATGAGTCTCACACTCCAGTGTCTCACAAAATCCGAAGCATGTGGTATAGTCTCAAGATCAAGAAATGGCTGTCACAGATCCATGAGGATGCAAACCTATCACTGTTCACAGATGTGCACAGCTAAATTCTCGTTATCTTGTGTCTTGTCCTCCTCTTCTCTCTATCCCTGGAAAACCCTTCAGCATTTTCGTTATTTTCCACTTTTTTACTTCCTCCTAGAAGATGGAGTGATGTTTTTAGATTTGTGTTGGGTTGAAGTTAGCAGCAAAACGTGATTGTAGCTCTCCTACAAGAAAACTAAAGGATGTTCTATATTTGCCACTTAGGTTTAAGGTAAATGTTGGCGGGAAGGAGCTGTCAAAACTCTTAGTGCAATTTTTTTTATTGATTCTTTTGTCATGTTTGGAACTTCATACTTCAGTTTTAGATAATTGTATCTTTTTCTTCTCAATCAAAGGAGGTAACCTATTGATGGATGCATGTTTTTGCTCTTGTATCGGTGTTTATCGATGCTAATGTGTATATGATATGCGTATCGATATGATTATGGAAACAACGATACTCAGACTACAAATAACATTGCTTTGAATACCATAAACCTCACTTGAAAGATATGGTGAAATGGTTTCTCATCTGCAATCAACCACAAAGTTGAAGAAAGTCTCAATTGTGCATTCCTTGAAATTCAAGTATAAATGTGCATGTATATATGAACCTACTGTAAATATCATCAAATTGAGGATTGAGTTCTATTTCCGTTATGGGTAAAATTCATTAAAAATTGAAAGTGCATATACCCCAAGCATTACTTGTAGGTCAAATTTTGTTGTTTGTCATTGTATTATGTCTATACACTCTAACTTGTTTAATTTTTGAAATTCTATTTTTTAAAATTTTTAAATTTTAGATTATAAAATCAAAGTGATTAAATTAGTGTGTGTAATATCTCAGTACAAATCAGTATGTCAATGTATCAGATATGCAATGATTATAGGAAAAAGGTATTCACTACTTATGTATACTAGAGCATAGAGTAATTATTAGTAGAATTGAATTTGACATATTTAATTGTTTGTTTAAGATTCAAAATACAAAATTTAAAAAGTATATGTATTAAAAATAAATAAATTAGGGTATAATGAACGAATTCATAACACTCAAAGTACATGGACAAATTAAACAATTTGTCCTCAAGTATATTTTATATGCAAAATGACTTGATTACCATTTGAATACTTCAAAAACCAGTCCAAAGTACAGAACTAAACTTCCCCTACTTTGATGGCAAACAACTAAGCTTCCCCTATTTCCATGGCTTCATATCAGTGGAGTCAGCCCTTCAAATATCACACGGTTGAGGCTTCAGATTTTGGCCAAAAACTAGAACAAGAGAAAAGCAAATCATTTCATCCAAAGGGTAATTTTGCTTACTTTGTTACTTATTCCAAATTCTCCAAAAATGGCTGTTTGTTGATTCATGCTTTACATAGGAAAAAAGAAAAAGCTAAGAAAGTAGAATGTTGTCTGTTATTATATATTTGGTACTATTTAGAGTTGCAGACATGTGTTGACATTCCAAAGGCATGATTTTTGTTGATTCTTATTTCAAGGTAATCTCCATGGCGTCAAGGCTTCAACAGTTCCAGACAAAGGCTGCTCAGATTTCAGAGTTTATGACCAAGAATGGAACTTCTTACTACAAGGAGCTGATGGAAAAAAACAATACCTACATCAAGGAACCCTCCAACATAGAAACATGTCAAATGTTGGAAAAACAACTGTTTTATACTCGACTTGCCAGGTACTTTCTTCCAAATTCCCACTATAGTCAAGTACGTCACAAGATTTTAGGTCAAGAGTACGGTAATATTAAAAATGTAATGGTTAGTGACGGATCCATAAATATTTTTTTTAGGATAGACATATATATTAACAATATAAATTTTTTGAATGAGGTAAGCATAAATAAAATTTTAGGGTGGAACCATCAAAAAAATAGCTCACTAATTGAAGAAAATTCAGATTTCAGGGTGGGCACAATAAAATTTCAGGATGAATACCATCAATAAAATAAGTGACTAATCAAAGAAAATCCGGATTTCAGGGTGGGCATGTGCTCACCCTTAGCCATGAGTGCGTCCACCACTAATAGCGGTGCAAAATTATAAAATTCTGGAGGTAAGAAATTAACCAATAAAAGAAAATATCTAAACTATATGAAAATTTGTAATTTTTAGATGTTGCAACTGCATCCAAGAATGATCCATCCAATACTATAATTTTAGGTATTCCTTTAATAAGCTGCATGTGACATGTATATATATGCAAGAACATATACTAAAGTTAATGGTTTGGCATGAATTAAGCAATCTCGGTGGTAAAGAAGTTGTGTTATTATTTGAGGTATCGAGTTCGAACATCATGAATGTCAGGGGGTATGAATGTTCAATGTCAAATAGTTGAGAGTTATCTTTGAATAGATTCTACCTTAAATTAATTAAAAAAAGGTAATAGTTTGATGTATGGGGTTGATGAAAATGCATGCAGTATTCCGAGAAGGTACGAGGCGTTCTGGAAAGAGCTTAATTGTCTTAAAGAGTTTTTGAAAACAAGGGAAGCATGGAACATAGAGAATGCAAGCATGGCTGCCTTGATTGGAGTTGAGTGCTACGCCTGGTTCTATGGGGGAGAGATCATTGGAAGAGGCTTCACTATTAAAGGCTACCATGTCTGAGAAACAACGATCCCCTTTTTCCATCTCCCTTTATCTTTATTATCAACATGGAAGCACAATAAATTTGTAAATTTTGTGAATAAACTATTTTTCTGCTTTGGGTTGGGCTAAACACCAGACTTATTTTATTCCAAACTCATGATCCAACTTGATTCGATTTGATCTTATTAGATTTGATAGAAACCGCACAACGACACAAAATTATGCGGTTAAAAATAAGAGTAAAATATCAAAATGACTCACCGATTATATGGTGTTGCTTTGTTGAGTCACTTGACTATTAAAAGTGACGAAATGATCTCCGATTATAAAGAGTTGTTTTGTTGATTACCATGATTATTAAAATTTACAAAATGGTCACATCATTTTTCATATGTTCCAAGCCCGTCTTTTTTCATTAAAAAAATAAGGACTATCTGAGTTGGACGTTAATATGCTGGTTGAGAGATGATAAAATCACATTTTAATGATGTCTATTGATACTTTCGTTTCTTTCAAGCACTTACTCGATAGCATAATATAAACAAAGAGTTAGTCCATAAAATATAGCTCAAACCCAATCAATATGTTAACGTCCAATTCAAAAAGATGAGTTTAAAACATATAAATAATCGGGTGACCATTTGTAACTTTCAATAGTCGAGACTCAACAAAACAACGCTCTATAACCATATAATTATAGTTTTTAATAGCCAGAAGACTTAACAAGACAATACACTATAGTCGGGACCATATGTACTATACCATAAAAGTAATTAATTTCATAATCAACTCGACTATTCTACCGATCAAGTTGCCAAATAATTAATGTCATAAACAACTCGCCATAGTAGTGATCAATATCACCCTAGCTTAGTGGAATTTAACAACCTAATAAGATCTATCTAATCTCAGAAAAATAACTCAAATGAGCCTCTAGATTATATGATCATGTGCTATAATTATCACCATAAGTGTCATTACCTTCATCACTAGCTCCTCCATCATCACTAGCTCCTCACTTTATGTGGATGTATATCTTATAAACTAGTCTTAGCTGGTGGTGTATTTCTTCACTAGTTTAGAGGAGAAATTATTGGATAATACGAGGATAATCCAATAATAAAATCTAAAAATTAAGCAAAGTATACGTAATTGTTGCTATTCCTTTACGTCCCGGGTTCGTGCACCATGAATGTAAGGGGTGTGAGCGTTCAATGTTAAATGGTTCATAGTTATATTTGAACAAATATTGCCTTGTATTTACCACAGATTAATCAAAAAAATATACGATTATAAAATGAATCGAACTTCATTAGCGATATATTTGATCAATTTTTATTAAGTCAAATCATGAAAATTAAAAGGGTAAACTACATAAATGGTCACTTTCGTTTGAATTTTATAAACTTTTCCTCACTAAATTCAAATAATACAAGATTTGGTCTATTTCTTTTCTTTTTAATTAAGATGTGGTCACTAAAGGTTAACAGCCGTTAAACCTTTAATGGTTTGCTGATGTGACACGTAAAATATATAAAATTAAAATTACATCATTTTCATGTAGATAATACGTGGATTAAGTTTTGGTCACTTTCCTTTAAAAAAAACATAAGTTTTGGTTACTTATGTTATTGTTTTATTAAGTTTTGGTCACTTAGACGTTGAATGTCCTTAGTTTGATGACATGAATCGTTAGTAAAATGGTTTATTTTTTATTTTAACCCCTAAATTTTGGACAAAATATTGATTATGAGTTTTTTTTTGTAAATTCAAATTAGTTTAGGGATAACATTTCAATTTAATCATTTTTTAATATTTTCTCCCCAACCACAAATATAACTCATCTTCTCCCCTCTTTTTCTTTATACATCTCTGCTTCATTGCAATAATCTTCTTGTTTCTAATTGTTAGTTGTAATTATTTGAAGTTAATTAAATGGGTTCTCAATTCTAAGAAAATGTATAAAAAAGAAGTAATGAAGATCGTGAAAAATGTAGAGGATTTGCCATCAATACTATAAAAAGATTCATCACCACGGTGAAGCCGCTACCTTGATCCAAGAAAATTAGAGTTTCTTCAATGATGATGTTATTGATGACACGATACTAGGTTTCCATCTCTAACACGTTGTTAACCAATGAAATCCCCGAGATGCGAAAGATCATCGAGAATGTTTCGTTGCATCCGAACGTGATCGACCTCCATGACATTTGTGAAGACCAAACTGGTGTTCACTTAGTATTGTAGATCTACTTCGGCAGTGAATTGTTCAATCGGTTTGTCGCGAAAATGAGGTACTAGGAGGCTGTCGTGGTGGCGATGGTGCGAAAGATCATGCAGGCCACTGGAGTTAATGGTGATTCATAGGGATATAAAATAAAAAAATTCCTTGTTCTTTAGCAAAAACAAATATTCGACGTTGAAGATCATGAATTTTGGATTGAGTTCAGGGGATGAATTTACGAATATAGTTATATGGTTGTTTGGATCCATTAATTATGTTTCACCAGAGGCGCTTTCTCAAGGAAAAATCACCACGAAGAGTGATATTCAGTTATCGGGTTATTTGGATCCATTGATTTGTCTTCTTGTTCCTTGTTGGATTTGGCATTCTACAATCTCAATCTTTGTAAATTGAATTTTAGTTTGCATAACTGAGATTACACAGTTTCATTTATCTCTAGATACATACCCTCTCATTTATCTCTGAAACTTGTGGTGTTATTATTTGAAATAGGAAGTTGGAAATCTTTCATTGTTCTTGAAATGCAACATGAGTCCTTGAAAGAAGGCAAATGGAGCAAAGGAGCAATTTAGCATAGATATCTGAAGAAAAAGTAGGGAGAAGATGAGCAATATTGGGGTTGGGAAGAAAAAAATTAAAAAATAGGTAAATTAAAATGGTATCCCTAAACTAATTTGAATTTACAAAATATCCAAAATCAACATTTTGTGTCAAGTGTAGGGATTGAAATAAAAATTGAAAAGTATTAAATAAATTTGACAATTTTGATGTCATCCATATTAAAATTCCTTACGACTCTAGCATGCCACTCGTTAAGAATAAAGGAAGTAGTATGCTAAAATTATCAGGAGCCTTATGTTCTTAATGAACTATACTCGACCGAACATTGACTATACTGTGAATATGTTGAGTAGATATACTCATAACTCGAGTAGTGAACATTGGATTGCACTCAAACACTTACTTAAGTATCTTAAGGGTGCGTTTGGTTCACGGAATGTAAGATTACCAGTGGGAATAAAAGATTACCAGGGAATAGGATTACTGGGAATGTTGTATTTTGTGTTTGGTTGGTTTAGCAGGAATGTAAGATTACCGTGTTTGGTCAAAGAAATAAAAGATTATTGGAATGTATATTTGACCAAATTGTCCTTATTATATATTTGTATAATATTACAAATTGTAAAATATTTATATATTTTCTTTAAAAAATTAAATTCATAATATTTATATAATTTTTTTACAAAATTAAAAATATAAAAAATGTTTAATTAAAGGGTAAAAAAAAATTTAACCCCTAAACTTCATATAAAATTTTAATTATAGACTTTTTTTTGTAAATCTAAAATAATTTAAGGATAAATTTGTAATTTAATATTCGTAGAATTTTTATTATTCAATGACAGAAGAAGGATATTTTTGAAAAAAAATAAAAATTTAAGGGCATTTTAGTCCAAAACGCCGGTAATGTTACAATACCTAAGGGAAGGGAGGTAATGACATTCCCGGTAATATACCCCAAAAAATCTACTATTGGTAATAAAACATTACCGGGAATGAGATTCCCGGCCAACCAAACATGGGAATGTGGGATTCCCATCCCATGGGAATCCCACATTCCTTGAACCAAACACCCCCTAAGGATAATATGGATTGGAAATTCGAGTTTGTTGATTATCTTACTATTTTATAGGGATATTATGACGTCAACTAGGTCACGAATAATGATGTGGTAAGCTCGATATATTTTTCCCTTAGGTGGTTGTAAACACTTATTTTTGACCGAGCTCTATTATGAACACTTGTTCAGATTAAAAAAAAATATATTTGGTTCTTTCACGTTGTTTTCATTTAATTAGTTTAGTTTTAATTATCTATATACGTTAAAACATATTTGGTTTTTATTAAATAGATACCTAATATGTATATTTTATTTTCAGATTTTACATATCAACAGGCTCATATTCAGAGCCCAATTGGATGAATATACTCAAATACAAAAAATGAACCAATTAGGAGACTTTTCGGCCAGCCGTGTGGAAACTTTCCATGGGTCAATGTTCTCCTTTTAAACCCTAAACTTTTAGGGTTATGCATGGATTCCAAGGCAACCGTAATTTTTTTTTAGAAACTAAGAAACGAACCTAAATTTTTCTACTCATTGCCGCCTATAGCAACATTCAGAACCGCCACCACAACAGTCACCACCGCGCCACCATCATCCAACTAAAAGGCCTCCTCCACCACCCTTGCCGAGTGACTCTATCCATGGTAGCTCCCACCCAAGAAAGGTCTCCATCGAGCAGTTATCTTCTCAGCAACAACCACCGAGTAGCCCCCTCACAACAGCCTCCCATTCATCATCACATAGCCAATATCTCCTATTTCTAACCACTTCTACCTATTGACCCTCAGAAATCCAACCATAACCAAAAAGCAAAACACCCACAGTAAGCCGCAAGCCAAGCTAACCCTAAACCTTTCACAACTTCAAAACTTCAAATAGGGAGGAAGAGAAGGTCAGCCATCCTCAAAGTAATATTTGAAAGAAAAACTGAAAGAACCTTACATCAAGTTCTTAATGGTGACAACTCCGATGGTTGGTTTATAAATCCCAACGGTGAGCGGCAAGACGACAATAAGAGAGACTACATAGCTTGGCCCCGTGACGATCTAAAGACAGAGGAGCTAGATCGGAGTAGTGGAGAGTCGAAAGGACTTTGGTCTTTTCGTGGAGTTCAGGGTTGCTTCTCGCAAAATGGAGTCCGAACCAAA